GGCAGCAATAAACGGAATACCACAAAAGCGTGACTATTTTTTATAGTTTATTTTTTCTAGAATCGTAATGGTTTTCAAGAATCGTTTTGCTCAGGGTGTTTGATCCTAAATCTGTTTTGGAAGGCTATTTCATAAAGCTAAATTATTCAATTATCAATGCCATTTTAATGCTGTATGTTTAGATATCGTACGCCGTTTATTAACTATAGCTAAAAAAATATGATTTCACATACAGCATGAGTAATAATAAAAATACCTAATTCAAGTTTTCAATATTTCAATTAAATGTTGCAGGATATATTTCAGCTTTTCATTTGTCCTATCAAAAATTAATAATATTTTCATTTAATGTATTATAACAGACTTTTTTCCACTGTGTCGCCCACTTGTAAAACTTCAACTCCCAGAATACCTCCGAAGGTCTTCCAGGTCAGAGTTTAAAGTTCAATCCCTGGACTTGAGCAGCAGCGGTATTACGGAGCTTCACAGTCCACAGGCCTGCCTGATAGGTAAATAGCTGTCAAGTCCATCAAAAAAGAACAAACAAACCGCTGTACTGTACTGTTGATGTACAATAATCGAACCGGACAGCCAGTAAAATGGTGACAGAATAAGAGCTGAGCTGTTGACTTTTCTATTAATCTTGGATTTCGAGAGAAGAGGGCTATGTTTGTGCAGGAGGAGAAGATTTTTGCAGGGAAGGTGCTGAAAATCCATATTTGCACCATGGAGGGGGCAGAGTGGTTGGAAGAGGTAACCGAGGACACCACCATTGAAAAACTCAAGGAAAAGTGCTTGAAACACGTATGTCTTCCTGTTGTTTCTTATGTTATTTGAATGTAATTAAACGCAGATCGTCAGGACAGCAGTAGCCAGGACGTTATCAGGACAGTGACTGAATTTCCCGGTAGGCCTGTTAGAACTGTCATACTCCGGTATTTATAGAAGAGCGCTTGTCTAGGCTATTTATAATTTAATTTACGCGTCGACCTAACAGGGTAATTTTTTTCCCCCCAAAATTGTCATAGCTCCTCTTCCTTCTCGTAATGTTTGCAAGCTGATCTGTTTTCTTTAAATGTAACGCTTCTTGCCCATATCATTTACAACTTGATAGGTTTTAGGTGTCTTGTTGCTTGTTTTATTTATATTTGCACATTGCCGTTGTCCTAGCCACTAGTATCATCAGCCGGTTAACATTACCGCCTCTTAACTGCCTCAACGACGAATAAAAACAGAGCGAAACGATTTTTTGCATGTTGTATTTTCAGTATACTCTATATGAAATCTTAATAGAATAGTATTTTCCCAGTTGGTGTAATAATTCTTGATTTGATTTGTTGTCGTTTTCCTCCATTTCATTCTTAGCTAGAAAGAATGTATTTTTGTTTTACTAATATTGGACTTTTTGTGTGTATTCTGTGTAGATGTAACTTCATTTTAATCGTTTTGCTAATTTCAACAAAAGATGAACCAGAAGACACAAGTATAGTTAAGGTTTGGAGGTGCTTTTAAAACCAATAAAAGGAGAGTTGTGGGAGTATGGAACATGCTTCCCAGCCATGTTGTTGAAGTCAATATCCTGGTTTCTTTCAAGAAACAGCTTGTCAAGATCCTTGAAGTAATTAATAAACTGCCAGCTATGGAGCTGATTGGCCAAATAGCCTCATCTTATCTGTGACCTTACGATCTTAACATTTAGATTTTGCAGTGGTTCTGTTGTGGGGAGGTGGTATGCATTGTTGCCTCACTGCACTTGGGCCCTGGATTCACTTCTGGATCTGGGGTGCTGTGTGTATGGAGTTTGTATGTTCTACCTGTGTGCCTTTCGTTCCGCAGTCCAAAATCGTACTGCTCGGTTAATAGGGTTCTGGGAAAACTGTCCCTGGTGCGAGTGTGTGTCTTGTGTGTGTGCGCCCTGTGATGGACTGGCGTCCTGTTGAGGATGTGCCCTGCCTTACTCTTGTTGCTGACCTGCATAGGCTCAGGTTCCCCTGCAACCCTGAATTGGATGAAGCAGTTAGAAAGTAGATGGATGTGTGGATTTCTGTTGTGACTAATTTCTGTATATGAAAGTTGTTTTAAACTTGTCAGAAGCAAGAGAGTTACACATTTCTTTTTTTCTTCTTTGCTCTAGTATGTCCATGGGAGCCTAGAAGACCCTAAGACTGTGACTCATCACAAACTGATCCATGCTGCTTCAGAAAGAGTCCTAGCAGACACTAAAACTGTAGTAGAGGAGAATATTAAAGATAAAGGTAAGTAGTGTTGAGAGGAAGAGGAGTTACAGGTTAAAGTTTGTGGGAGTCTTATCCAGTTTATCCAGCCATGCTGTTGAAGCATATATCTTGGCTTCTTTCAAGAAATCACCAGAATGGGGTCCTTGGATCATTTAAATATTTACTACCAATTGCCTAGATGGGCTGAAAACCATTTGTATCTCATAAAGATATTTCATTATTCATCCTTTTTTTATTGTGATTAATTTCAATGATTATTTTGGCCTCATGTACAATATGTAATAATGAAATGTCTTGAGGCTGACACATTCAGAACTAAAAATGAGGAAGGTTTTAATGTTATATTTAGTATCTTACTAAGGTTGACAAACTCTCATTTAAGGTTTTGGAATTGAATACCACATCAATTAGCTACTGCTTCCGAATGACCTCCTGTTATTTGTAAGCAGTCTTATGGTCTTTCTTATGTTAGATAGTGGTACCATAATTCTGACTGGTAATATAATGCATAGTTTTGTATTGTACGTTGGTGTACTCATTAAGTTGTTTTTCACTTGCAGAAAAATGGGCTGGATGACTTTTTAAAGCAGTTATGTAGAAAGAGCTTGACAAACACCCAAGTGTAAAATAGTTTTCTTTTATTTTCCTTTTGTTGGATCACTGTTCTTGTAATGTTCTGAAAACATCTGTTGGGGGAAAAAAAAAAAGAACTAATTTTGAAAAATTGTTATAGAGTGATTGCACCAAAAGAGACTGCAATGGTACAAAATTACATCTGAGGAGAATTTTCATCTGGTACCTTCTGTTATGGACCATTCTGTCTCCTCTCCTAGATGTCTTACTGTTAATAAAAAAGAGACCACCTCCTCCCCCACCGAAGATGACTGAAGTGTCTACAGAAGAAAAGGTAAAATATTTTAAATACCTAGTGAGAGGCCAACAAAATATTTTAATTTATAATAGCACAAATATTCCAGAATGAGCTGGGTAGAGGATGCATAGGAGGCTACCAAACACGCTCTTCTTTCAGTGCTGGAATATATGCTAATCCGAACATGCCTATTCACTTTTTCGTTACAACTGAAGAGAGTTCACAGGGGTGTCAAATGCTAACAACCTCACACCAATACCTTGTAAAAGTTCACTCTGGCACCTTAAGTCAAAGAGGGAATTCAAACAAGAAACCAGTTTCATCTTCAAGTTGTATGTTTAATTTTTTATTACTATTTGTAGCAATTTTCATTTTTCTGCCTCTCTGTGAGGACTTTGTATATGCATAGTAAGAGATGTTGTCATGCCTATAGATTAATATCACTGGATTTTTAGATTACTGCTCAGGCTCAGTTTATTCTTCAGTGAGAAACACCTCCTGTTTTTCACATAAGAATTAATGAATTGTTACAAAACGGAATGCATCAGAATTTTAGCAAACCAATTCTGGATTGCAATTGTGAGGGCCCCTGAAGTCTCTCACAGCCAGTTTGCTAAACTGAACTTCCTTCAAAGTTGCATTATTTAAAAACAAGAAATGTGCTGCACATACAGTATTTTGCAAAAACTTTCTGGTTATTTGGAATTTTGTTTCCGATTTATTTTGACTCAAACATCGACGGTAAACTGTGAAGTCAGAATTAATTTACTGTATATTACAAACACGTGGCCATAATTGTTTCTCGTCAAAATGGCTGTTCATCTATGCATGATTGTGTGTAAAACATTTAGAGGTGTTCCAGTGCCATCTGTTGGTAAGTTAAAAGCAGCATTGCTGCAGTCAGAAGGGTTAATCGAAAATACATGAACCCTTTTGAATGGATCAGTTACCCTGTGTAACTGAGGAGGGAGACTGATTTCGTCTATAGCTGCTCCTGAGATGGAATTCCTTTGTGATGAAACAGCAACTATAAAAAGTGCCCAAGGCTTTGCAGGGGATCTATACCTTAAAGCAGGGGTCTCAAACTCATTTGCTATGGCAGGCCGGAGTTGAATTTCAGTGCACTTTAGGGAAGCCATTCATACTATAAATTATTGAAATCCTAGGCACAACCATTACCTCATATTATTTATTTGTGAAGATTTGCATTTTTACTGTTTATTTTTAAAGATGATGCCTGCACTTTAAAATGGTGTTAATGTCATTGCAGATTTTTCAATATTCAAATGTATTTAAAAAAGTGAAATATTATTTGCTAGATATCAGCAGCATTAAAAAACTATATTGCTATTGCTCTTTGGCAACAGTTAAGGGTGCAAGTAAAGCAGTGTGACTTTCCATTCACTTCTACAAAGAAATATAAATTGCTTCACTTATCTTTGCACACACAATTTTATTTTTCTATTATGTTTTGGATAACATAATTACAAGACCCTCATTACCATATTCCAACATTTGCTTTTGAGTTAATGAAAAATCAGAACCTGTTTCTTGGAAGGGGAGTTTGGAGAAAGTGTGCACACAGGTTTTGTGGAGTCATTTTGTTCCAACGCTGTTTTTTTTCTGCAAAGACCCCCATCAGATGGTCTTGGTGGGATGGATGTGGCTGAAATTCCTGCGTGGAAAGAAGTGAACTCTTTTCCACCTTAGAAGGGACTTGAACTGCAGAACCACTGAAAAATGTGAATTCTCTTCCAACCCGGAATCCTTAACTTTTTTTTTTTTAGTGCAGTAAAATTCTGCAGTAAGATACTGTAGACAATATTGACGTGTACATGAACTAACTAGAAAAAAGAAGGTTTTTAAATGGCTAAAGAGTACAGAAATTGCAGCATTCAGTCATTTGTAATCACCATTTTCTTGATATTTTATTTTGTGTGTCTGAAGTTCAAAAGATGAACTGAGTGGCCTCTCATTGGTAACCTTAGTTATGAATTCACAGCTACCTTGAATTCAAGTTACATACTGATTTAAGGTTTTCCATTTGATATTTATCTTAGCTTTTTATGAATCAATCCACTACAGTGCTACAAAAGCCAATGCACCAACCTAGAAGTATACATCATCTGAACCATGCATTTTCAAGCCATTGGTTTCTCCTCAGACAGCAAACCGAAAGTACAAACAGAATGTCTAAATACCTCAGAAATTGCCTGACAGCTACTGGAATTGAAATCACAGTTGGCTGCTGGGAGAGAGCAGGTTTGACCCAACGATGGCCAGGTTGTAGGGCACATTTTTCACTCTGATTGGTGGGCTTTACTCTGTGTCCAAGTCTGGCCCCTCTTGTGGCCCATTCTTGTCTTCTGAGTATGACCACTATTTGTAGTTCATTATCATCTGTCTTTCTTTTTAAATTTTACCCTGATTGTTGTCCATTTTGATCTTCTAGAAGAAACAGGAACAAAAAGCTCCAGACAAAGATGCCATCCTTAAAGCAACAGCAAACCTTCCTGTTCGCCATTCTGACCGAACAGTCGCACAACACAATATCCGAGATGTAAGTTTCCGCATGTTCATTTACTTTATGGGAATGTCACTGCAATATTTTAAGAACAGATTTATGTTTTCCACATTTTTCTTTGACATCTTGCACCAGGGGGTCTCATCTCAGTTCCTTTAGAAAACACACCAGAACCCTGTTAAAAGTATTACAATGCTTTTTTTCATTAAATTCAAAGACTTTTGAAGAGCAGCTTGGTGAGTTATCAAATTTAACTTTGCATTGGCCTTTATAGGTTACAGGTATGAGGTGTCTGTACAATCCTTAACCATACAAACAAAAAAAATAGTACTAACATTTACAGAATGACAAGAAATGTTTTATAAATGATCTTATTAAAAATAACACTATAAATATTGCCCAAAACACAAAATATGTAGTTTTATTAGCTTCTAACTCCACTTGTATTCAGCTTCATCTGTAACTCAATTCCACCTGGTTTTGTCTTTAGACAAATTGTATGTTCTGAGATAAGACCACAGTCTGTGAAGTAATAAAGACCTTTGTTACAAAGTGTTTTTAAAGGTACAGTCTTTAAAGGGTAGTCAGTGTGACAACTCAGTGAAAATAGCCTTTTCCTTTATTTCTTAAAGTCTCCTGAATTACATTATCAAGATTGAGTTGCAACTTGAAATTACTTGTCTGCATTTTGAAATAGTGACTATGCACAAACACCACCTGCAGCTCCTTATGTTTTGGGTCTTAGATTTAGAGAAAAAATTCTCTCATTTGGTATACCTCACTGATTGTGTGCTCTTTGGAAATAAGAAGACAAAACACTGTGAGGTATAGCTGTTTTGAATTTGTTGCAGTTCCACTGCCTTTTCTTTTGTACTCTTCTGTCAAAGATGCTGACAGGTTTCATGTCTTCAAGAAAAGCAGAAGATATAAACCCAGATAAATTGTTCAGTCTGTTTTTTTATTGAGGATTTGAAGATTAATATAACTGTTTTTGTATTTAACTGTATAAATAAGCTAGAATATTGAACATATGTAATAGCTGGGTGGTATTACTTTACATTTCTTTCCAGTGTGCCTTACCTTTTTTGGTAATTTTGTTGAAACTCAGCACTGAATCCTTTCTGTTTTTCTTTTTACTGTCATGGAAATGCAAGGCAGTACCCTTTTTTGGACATAAAAAGGTTTGTTTCAAATTAATTACTTTCAACAGTTTATAAGTAAAATGTACTCTCTGTACATAAATTATGTTTATATAATGGAATCTTTCAGTTTTATTTTCAATATAGATACAAGTATTTTTTTACATTAAGGACACACCTAATTTAGTGAATTCTGAAGTCGAGAGCAGTAGAAGAAAACACTAATGTGAGTGAACACAGAGTAGAGAAACTGTGTTTTTTAATATTATCTCTTCATTAAGCAAGACTGAAACTGGGTAATATGAAAAAGAATTGGAATTCTGTAGCTGGAATACATTGTGCTCTCTGGATTGTCAGATGAATGTAAATATTCCACTGTGGCAATGTTACCCCTTGGTCTCTATACAGTTAATACAGTTAATCCTAAATATACCACCACTATTGGTATCAGGAGGAGTTTTTTAAGGAACTGAATGGAGCACAATACAGTTTCATGGGAAGATGGATGGATGTTTGCCTATTATGCCTTCTGGCACATAGGGACAGCAACATCCTGTTGCTGTTACCATAACATTTGGTTTTTATGGGACAGGGTTGTTAGCCTTGTGCCCAACTTCCAACATGGAGGACCTGATGCCTGATGTGGGACATGAACCTACTACCCTGAGATTATGCGTTTCATGCTCTACCATCAGAGCTAGCCGGGGTGCTTCATGGAAAGAGTTAGATTAAAATAAAGGGAGAATACTAGATATTTGAAACCTGCAAAGTAAACATCCTGGGAAGACTTCCTGCAGGGATACTAAATGTGTCCTTTCATGCTGTACTAGTTACTTCTTTACTGCTTAATAATTTAAGCTCTTTGTAGGTAGACTCCAAGGTTTGTGAAGTATTCAATTTGCAAACATCATTAACTGAAACTGCTTGGAAAATGTTTCTATGCAACAATTTTCTTACACAGAGTTCTTATGGGGCTCCCCTGTGGCTCAACAAACACAGGCTCTTTCTCAGCACGCAGTTTAAGACCCTGTAAGATCCTGCTCACCTCTAAGGCAAGCTTGCAGCACAAAGGTGAATGTGAAGCACAGGTGTAGGGCAGACTCATGCCCACCAGTCCTCTTTCCTCTTTTGTGGGTGTAGGAGTTATTAACCACGTTTTGAGAAGTTATAAAAAAAGAATCGGTGACAGTTCTTTACCTGCAAAAAAAAAAAAAGCCAAGCCTTGTTTTGTGAAAATCCATCATCATGCGTCTTTACAGTCTGTGGACTAAAGCTGATAAAATCATGTTACTGCCTTTAACCAAGAAGATACAGACTTTTAATAGACCGTTTTTTTCTTAACAGAGATTTGTGTCATATGGATTTGCAGGTTTTTAAGGAAATGTAAAAGCTGCCTAGATACAGGTAGATTTATACATTCTAAATGTGTACGTTATTGGTTTAATATGCCTAAAAAATATACACAATTTGTTAATTTACAGAGAATTAGGTCTCACTTTAACACGCTTGGCCACGCTCTGAAACAGGCCACTGTTCAAGATAACATACTCTGCAAGTACTCAGTTGCCCTGGGATAAATAGAGTAACTTGGGTGACACACAGGCAGCTGGGCAGTCTTTGTGTTTTTTCAGCCACTGTTTACCTCCATCATCTCATGTTGATTAAATCCATCTATAAAATGTCTGCATTATTTTAGTCTGTTATATTTATCAATCTAAAATAAAATCAATAAAACATTAAAACTAAGAAACAAAAATTCAGTACAAAGAAGTTTTAAATAAAACTTTATTTTAAAGTTGTTTTAAGAGAACAACCATTTGACAAATTTAATTATGTAATGAGTTTTCAAAGCCGTGAACAATCTGGCTGTCACTATGAAGAAATACGTTCTCTGTAATGACACAAAATTACTGCTAAAAACACAAAACTTATTTCAGTGCCCTATATTCTAGGAGATTCTGTTTAGCTGGACATTGAAGACACTATAAATAAATTGATCCCTGGAGCACAACTTAGAGGAATGTGTTTTGCTTAACTCATTGTTACTGGTAATGAAGTTTAAGTAATAAGAAATGCTTTATAGATGTAAACCCTCCCGATTTTGAGGATCAAAAAGCTCAAAACAATTTATTTGTTCATTCTGCTTTCCTTTTGTATTACTATATAAAACCAGACATTTTTTTTTCTTTTGCATTGTTGGGGTGGATGCTAGTCTACTGTAATACTAGTTAGTAGATAGTAGTTACTGCTATTGCTTAGCAGTTTTGCAACTCAACTATTAAACGAAACAAGTAGCTTCTTGCAATAGTGTAATTTTTTTTTTGAAGTTAACCTACAGTACACAAAAAGTAGGCTTTGGTAAAAAAAAAAGTATTTGAATGTGTGATTTCTACTGTTTTTGAAATTTAGAGCAATGTCAGATGAGTAATCCGATGGTGGAGTCTCTGTCAACATGAATTTGTGATGATTCAGTTTCAGACAGAACTCAGGAAAATCCTTGTCTCTCTCATTGAAGTGGCACAGAAGCTACTGGCACTTAACCCTGATGCTGTAGAATTATTTAAGAAAGCCAATGGTAAGAAATGTAATTTTACTTTGTTTTATTAAAGGTACTCGCACACAGATGTAATAACTGGAGTTTATTAATCATAGGTCTGTTAATGACATGACAGAGTGAGGTTTATACTATATTGTATGAAGTGATTGTACCCTTAATATTCCGTAAAAGCTGATCTTGTCTATTTCTCTTCATGATTGAAAGCTGATGTTTTTGATTTTGAGCCTAATAATTCAAAGTACTGTACAAGATTGACTCTGTAATAATCATTATGAAAAGCAAGAATGCCAACAAAAGGATAGTTTGCAAATGATCAAAATTGTATATTTTTTAAGTAATAAAAGTAGAAATATTTATTATTTTAGAAATGTGGAAAAAACTAGATAAAAACCTGAAACATTTTCAGGCTGAACAGGTCCTAAATTAAAATGGACTAGAAGAACAAAACTTCTGCTCCACAGCAGTAATTTTTTTTCTCTTGCCTTTTACTTTCAAGCAGGGAATTAACTCCTCCTTGTTCTCTTGAGCTTTATTACATGTGAAAATATGACAATAAAATAGTATCTAAAATTCCTGAACATACAGTATATGTCAGCAGCATCACCTTGCTTTAACCTTGCTAAGGTGTAAAAACAGTAAGGGATGACAGCAGAAACACATTGTTTCAAAATGCATATTTAAAGCCAGATCCTCCTTTTGTGCCGATAGAAGTAGTGATTTTCCTGCCTGTCTGCCTCTGTAGCCATGTTGGACGAAGACGAGGAGGACAGAGTGGATGAGATGGCCCTCCAGCAGCTTACCGAAATGGGCTTCCCTGAGAGCCGAGCAGTCAAAGCCTTGCGTTTAAACCAGTGAGTATGTTTTAAACCCCTCCGGGTGTTAAATATTTAACCATGCATCTGCAGCTTATGTTTAGTGTGCGCAAACATTGTAAAGCCTTCATCTTGCTGCCAGGAGTATGAAAAACATTCTATATTTGAAATATAGAATAAATGTATTGATACAGCTAAGGGGCTAAACAGGGAAATCAGCAGTTGAACCCATGCAGTTGAAATATTCTTCATATCAAATTGAAAAATGAGCATTTTCTTCAGCATTTTTTTCGTGAAATGACAAATGAGCTGATGTTTTGCCTTGTAAAATCTATGGCATTTGCAAGGAAGGGATGGGGCATTTCAGTGCCATTAAGGCCAGAATATTTCAGGTTGTACAACTATGTTTCACTTACCAATTTATGAAGACCTGAAAGAATCAAGTGACTTGACTTGTTGACCCAATAATCAGTTCAGTTTAGTTAGAATAGACCTGGACTGAAACCCACTGGATCCAGTGCCCTTTTGATCACTGGAATTGCCTGTTTCCAGTATAAAGGACAGTGCTACAGAGCAGTCTGGTATTTATGCAAGTTAGAATCTTCATTTGAAAACTGTAATACAGAAGAATGGACAGACAACAGGTAAGGGCAGGTCGGACTTTCACAATGAACAGTGAAACACTAACCAGAGGGCACAAGTGGAAACTGCATGAAAGTACAGACACTTCTTTACCCAAAGGGGTTATGAAAGTATGGAACAAGTTCCTCAACCATATTTTTGAAGCTGACACCCTGGTGTCTTTTCAAGAAATGCCTTAATGAAATATTTGGATCAGTGTGCTCCTGTTCCGGGATTCTCTAGTCCCTGATCAAAGCAAAGGGCTTCCTGTGCCTGTCTGTTCGCAGCATGTCAGTGACGCAGGCAATGGAGTGGCTGATAGAGCATGTGGATGACCCCACGGTTGACGCCCCCCTGCCAGGCCAGGAGACTGCAGGCGCAGCAGCTCCTCCTGCTGGCACCAGCATTGCAACTGCTAGGGCACCTTCGGAATCCAACGCTGAAGACTCCAAGCAAGACGAGCTTACCGAAATCTTCAAAAGGATTCGCAGGAAAAGAGAGTTCAGGCCTGACTCACGGGTGGGTCTCTTACCGATGTCCTCTTGTGCCTTTTTGTCAAATTATTTTACTCAGGTATCAAAACATTAGAGCTTAACTAGTAAACAAAATGTCTTTCATTTTATTCTGTTTACTGTATTTCTGGAGTTAGTAGTTGTTCTGATAAAGTTAGAAATGCAATCTGCCCAATCAACTCAGTTGGCTGCAACTGGGTAAGTGATCTGAGGATCCATCTGGCCATTTCTTGAAGGAAGCCAGTGTGTCAGCTTTGATAACATTCTGAGTCTGAGAAGCTCCACAGCTGTGCACTCCACATATACACATTTTTGTCAGTTAAACAGTTTAGTTAAAAATATGCTTTTATCATTCTTTTTCTTTCAGGCTGTGATTGCACTAATGGAAATGGGATTTGATGAAAAAGAAGTCATTGATGCTCTGCGAGTTAATAATAACCAGCAAGATGCCGCTGTAAGTTTTGAAAAAATTTTGCAGAAAGGGCTAAAGACGCATGCAGTCATTGGGCTTCATGAGTAAGGCAGTCCCAACTGTGCAACCTCAGTGGCTTTCCCAAAGGCAAGCTTTTAGTTAGTATGACTTGCTTTGATCTGAGATTAATCAAGACTCGATCTTCATGTTGCTGACTCCACTGGTAAATACAGTGATTGGCTATTTGTTGACTCAGTCCAATGATTTAAATTGGAATAATGTACCATGTGCATTATACACATTTGTTTGCAGAAATGGGAAAAAAATATTTTTCTTTTTCTGTGCACAACCCTGTGAGTTCTCATAAATGTGAGTGATTTTACAGCAGTTATATTTTTGTTGTTAGGTGTCAAACCTTACGAAGGCTCAACATTGTATTTCTCCTGTTTTTTGAGGTGTGGAATTAACCTTTACTTGTTCCTTAGCAGCCAACACACTGACGCAGCTCCTCACTTGAGCATCAGAAATTAGTGAATAATGGTTTCCCATTAATTAGGGTGTTAATTGTTCTTTATGCCACCATCTAAATCCATTATACCTGCATTGAACTAGTTGAAGAGTGTAGTCTGTAGTACTTTTCTGATATGGACAAATTTAATTTTAAAATTTGTAATTTGAAGTTACTGTCATTCCACTAACCTGCTCTGATTTTGATTTCCCAGTGCGATTGGCTATTGGGAGACAGGAAGCCATCTCCGGAGGATTTGGACAAGGGCATTGACACAAACAGCCCTCTGTTTCAGGCAATTCTGGAGAACCCCGTCGTCCAGCTGGGGCTCACCAACCCGAAAACACTGCTAGGTTTGTAAAGCTTAGTCGTCGTTTGCCGTTGAGGAATATTCTGCGATGTGAAAAATCGGTGCTTTTGCAGTGACTGTGTTTGGAGGTGAGGGGAGTGATTTTTGATTTCTTTAATCAAACATTTCGTTGTTTCCGTAGCATTTGAAGACATGCTGGAGAACCCTTTAAACAGCACGCAATGGATGAATGATCCCGAAACCGGGCCGGTGATGCTACAGATATCTAGAATCTTCCAGACACTAAATCGCACATAGGGTCTACCTTCAGTAAGGGCAAGCACCGCTGCTCCGCCTCTGAAGAGTGCAATAGATTCTAGACAGACTCTGTCTAGTGTGAAAGCTTTGAACTGCTCTCACTGAGCACAACAAACAGATCACCTCTGTTTATAAGGGAAATGTGTGTGTAACTGTGACTTGAATTCCCTTTTGCCTTGCAGACTTAGTACTAGTGGAGGTGTGATGTGGAGTGTTAGTAAGAGATTGAAACTAGGATTGACATAAAATGTGCAAATGCTGCATAACTATATCTATTTATAATACAGGAGAACACTTGTAAAAACCAACATAAGCATTGTTTATGTTTTAATAAGAACAATATCAGGTTGTTAAATCATTTTTAATTTAAATTTTCAGTGTTAAAGTGACATTTGGTTATCCAAAAAAAGTTTACACTTCCAAAACATGTTGTTTTGTATGTTTTTGTTAAGGTCTTTAATTTAAAATACCAGACTTAGAAAACTATTCCCAAATTGCTACATTTCACCAAAAAAAGGAAATGATTACAGTACGACGTCAATAGCTTTGTCTTTTTTATCCTTCTTTCTTTTTGCACTGTTCTATTCGTACCATAATTTGCATATGCATGGTAAGAGAAAACGGTCAGAGACTTTTTGTGGGGCAGTACAGTACTGGCAGACGAAAAGGAGTCTAATATGTAAAAAGCAATATCATTCCTTTTAAAAAATAATTATTAAAAATGGAATACAGTGCACTGACAAAATGCTTTTGGGCTCAGTTATAATGGTTACATACCCTAGAGACCTTGGCTTTACCAAACACCACTGGTTGACACACAGTAGCTGTCACCTTTATGACATTAATACCTAATACAGGTGACACTGTAGTGGCCTGTTGCAGACATATCTACTGTGTTTCACAGGCTTTTTAATTTAAACTATTATCTATGATTTTTATCAGAGTTATGCTTTGCCTGTGTTTTGACTTGGTCAACACAGAGAATTAATTCATTGTCCCAACACATACATGGGAACTGCGCTCTCTGAGCTTTCTGTGTGGGCATTTTGTGTGGCACAACAAAATAATGATTAGAATCACTTCCTTCTTCTGTAAGCCAACAAATCTTCCCTCAAATACCGTGGAAAATATTAAATTTGTCTTAAAATCTTTGTTTTCTGGGATGCGGGTGGGGTGTGGAAAGACCTTTTCATGTTCGGATTGCATAACAGGAAATCAAGGTAGAATCTTTTCTGTAGACCCATTTCCTTAGAGCATACAATCTATGGGCATTTCTTAATGAGCTCACAAATATATATTGAAGAGTACTGTTCTCAAAAGTAAGGCAAACATGCTTTGACCCCTCACGATGTAATCTTCACTAAAACCTTTCTCAAAAGGTTAACTGGCTTCAAAATAAGCTCTTCTGTTTTACAGGAAAAGCACCCTAAACATACCTTCAGAGTGAATTGAATGTGGGGTGCACTGTATCTAAGTGATGTGAAATTTTGTACCCTGTAGTGTGTAGCTATGAATTTTTGCATACTCTATGTGCCTGAAGTGAATTATGAATGATACTATGACATTTTCTATTTGAAAACCTTTTAGATTGGTTTTGTAGCTTATGAAAGTATGTATGTATGTCTGTTTCGTATGTTCCAGTCTTTCAATCTGTTGTGCAGTTGGTGGTTATGCTCCATGGGAGAAAAAAAAATGCACAGCACATTGCAGATCTTTATAGTCCCCTGTTTGTGTTTGTATTCTCTGTTTGTGTATTTTCGTTACTGTTTTATTTATGTTGCAGTAGGATGTTGTAATTCTTTTTTTGGTGAACGTTTTGGAAAATTGAATAAAATGCAGATCTAGGAGTTTTTACCAATGAAAAGCTGCTGATCATGTTGCGCTATTCCTGGAAACAGTGAAAAAATAAAAATGTTTGGAAATACTTAAAATTGAAACTTTTGAAGCCTGTTGTGGATAATGTAATATCCATATCGGGAAGGCTAAAGTTGTATTTTATAAGTGTCCTCTCTTAACACAAATGATATGTTCCCTATTGTGTGAACTAGCATAGGCTTTTCCTTTTATTTGGTGACCATCTGGTGCTTTTCTAAACTCAGATTAATAAGAACTTTACATGAAGATGCCCCAAAAAGATTGCAAAACATAAAAATGTAGTGAACATTTTAAACCTTTATTGCCAAAAAAGCTTTATCTGATGTGATTTTGGTGTGGGGATTGGTTGCCCTATGATAACATGAATATTCATTCAGAATTTACTTTTCTTAGAGCTTTCAATTATTTGTGTTAAAACAAATGAATACTATTGGCTCTTTTAAACTGCAAAAATATATAAAAAGACGAGAGTTTGAGGTATAACATCAATATTTATTGAACTAGATACTTGGGTATTCCTATATCTTTCCACTGTCTTTAAATCAATCCATTTTGTGGTCACTTACTGGTTTAAGCATTCAGTAATTTAGATTAGTGCCATACTAACTTTTCATGGTCACTATGCATCTACATTGAATTTTAAAATGTGGACTCTGTATACAAATCTGATTGTGTGTTGTTTTTAAGCATTGAGCTGTTTTTTTTTCTGCTCAGGATTTATGGCTGATCAAGTGTCAGTGACTCATCAAGGCACTCAGTTTAGCCACAGTTTAAGCAGATAAAGATCATTAAAACAGATATTTTGTGCATGCATTTACATTTTAGTAAAATTAAAAATGCCTTTTATGTGATTTTAGCTTATGGAATAGGTGGTTTAAAGATTGATTTTCTGAAGACTGTCATTGAAACATTTTAATTCTTTTAAGGTTACGTGGCTGTAGATCATTTTATGTCTTTTCAGCATGGTGATTTATTTCAGAACAAGTGAGTTTTGACTTTTTTAGGCCAAAGTATTTTTTGCCATTTTTGCTCTAGACTTAATCATATAAATATAATCAAAAACTATAAATGGGAAAAATGTACAAGGATTTAATTTGTAATTACTATACAGTAAATTGTTTTATTAACAAAATGGTTTAGAGTTGAATGTTATTGTTGAGATTGAAGCTGTCGGCTTCAATTTTAACACTTGGCATAACAGTTTTTCTGTTACAGTAGATACCTTGTGACATTAGTCTTTCTCAGTTACTAATTGTTGTGATGTGTACGAGCCCCCATACCATACTGTACTTCTCAGACTACACTTCAGATCTGTTCACACAGTCTTGATTAGTTTTACGTTAGTTCTGCATCCAAAGCTATATTGGCAGGCAAGATGTGTCCACACCTACATTTACGTAAGATTGCAGTCTTATGAAATAAAAACTCTTATTGGCATGCTTGACTTGATTTGCTTCCAGATACATTCCCTGTATCCAGCTCCTTTTTTCAAACCACACCTATCTCTAGCATTCCTTGGTTCTACTCTTCTGTGATGCGGGAGTACAAATCAAGTATAGGGCAGACAAGAAGAACATGTGAAAGAAGCAAGTGCCTCTGTGACAGTAAATTCTGGGTTTTTTTCTTCATGTGTAAATGCAGAATTCTGATGCGGAACCTAAATATTAATGTGATTAAGATAGAAACTATGAAGGATTGGCACTTAATTGTGTTATTTGTTTTATTCTTCGGAGGCTTTTGTATAAAATTAGTTTGATACACAATGGCATTTTATTCTTTTAGAATCATTATTAAGGCTTTTAGAAAGACATGCCAGTTACTTGAAAAGAACAATGGCTTGGTGGTTGAGTCTATGAAGAGTTTTGTCTTTTGATACACAAGAGTCAAACCGCTACAGGGTGCAGAGGTGCCCTGCAGTATTTTTGCTTTTGCCTGTAAATTTGGTTTGTTTGATATTGACTGACTGTTGTCATTTTCTGCATTTTTGTGCTATTCTTTTATGGCGTTACTCAATTGTATAGTTCTCTTTTTCTGACAGAACTAGGAAACAACACTCTCTTAACTTTTTAACCTAAC